GCGGGTGTGTTTCAGGGGCGTCTCCGCTGGGTTCTAGACGTTTCCGGGGTGGGAGTGTGCAGCCCTCTCCCCGGGCCTGCGAGGGCCCCGCGGCCCCGGCCCTCCAGCCGCTGCAGGGCCGAGGGCGGCATCTCGTCATACAGGCGGTACGAGAGGTTCCGCAGCACGCACACGGCGTTCTCCACGCTCTGTGGGGGTGGAGGGCGGCCGTCAGCGCAGGCTGAAGCCGGGGGACCCCCAGCCACCGCCGCCCCTCACCTTGTCCTCGCATTTGCCCACGTCCAGGGCGTGGTTGATGTAGGCGACCAGAGCGTCCACCAGCCCGTGGCACTCGCGCATCTTTTGCCGTGTGGCCTGGGAGGCCGAGCTGAGGTTCCTGGGGAGGGAAACAGATCGAGTCCCCCTCAGGGTCCCGGCCCAGCTGTCCCTAGGGACTCCAGGCCAAAGCCTCCGCCCTAGGTGAGATTCACGGCCACCAGCATTTTCCACCTGCTAGACATGGCAGGGCCTGCCCCTTGATACCACTTGAGGGTTGGGACCCGATTTAATGAGAGCTGAGCCTGCAGCTGGGCCCGACGCGCCTTCCACCTGGTAGCCAGAGGTGGCTTGTCCTAGTCCCTGCTCTCCAGGCCCACCAGCCAATCTTAGCCTGTCCCTCAGGCCTCAGACACAAGCACCACTTCCCAGGGCTGCCCCACTCCGCACGGGCACGGCTCTCCAGCACTTCCTCCTCTCCCTTCCCGCATGGGCACGGCTGTCCAGCGCTGACCCTCCCCGCACAGGCACCAGCTCTCCAGCGCTGCCCCCCTCCCCACACGGGCACGGCTCTGCACGCTGACCCCGCCCCACACGGGCACGGCTCTCCAGCGCTTCCTCCTCTCCCTCCCCACACGGGCACCGGCTGTCCCCCCCTTGGCCTCTGGCCCTGCGGCCCAGCACACCTGAGGAAACCGGTAGCGTTGTAGAAGATCTCGGCCTCGGAGGCGTTCTGTTGGATGAGGGGGGGCCCCCCGGCCCCTGACAGGGGGCTCAGCACCAGATCTGTGAGCTGCTCCAGCGTGTCTCTGGCCAGGCGGTCCTTTAGGTGGTCACTGGATGACAAGTTCCATAGGATTCCTGGGTGGGCGGGCCAAGGCAGGGGTCAGGAGGCTGAGGGCTCCCTTCTGAGAACGGAGCTGGATACGGCCTGCGCTCTCCTGTACCTGGTGCCTCCTCACCGAGAGCCTGCTGGAGAGGCACCCAGTGCTGGGGCCAGTGTTGTGGGGTGAGAACCGAGGGACAGAGAACAAGAATTAGGGTCATGGGGGACCAGAGGTGAAGGTGACTGTGAGGAGAGAGTCTTGGCTGGGGTACAGGTCGATGACAGAGCAATTGCATGGCGTCTGTGAGGCCCTGAATTCCATTCCCGTGACTGAAAATAAATAAGTGAGGGACAGAGCCAGAAGGACAGAATTTGGGGACCAAGGAAAGAGACAGAACAGGGGAAATGTGTCTGTCACAGATCATGGAGAACAGCACAGAGGAGGAGGGGAAAAGTGAGGGAGGAGGAGGAGGGCGTGGGGGCGGCCGTGGGGAGGGGCCCTGGAGGGCAGCCTGGACGGGACGCACCTGTGACATTCTTGCGCAGCTCGTCATCTTGCTCGCGGAGCGTCCGCAGCAGCTCGAAGATGCCGTTCTCCTCCACCAGGGCCAGTTTGTTCTCTGCGTTGTCGTAGATAAGGTTGCGCATGGCCCCCGTGGCGTGGCGCTGCACCTCCTGGTTGGCATGGTTGAAGAGCTTCACCAGCCTGGGCACCGCCTGCAGGCTGCGGGCCTGGGACACGCAGGGAGACCCAGGTCACGAGTACAGCCACGTGCATGCGTGTGCTGCGGGCCTGGGACACGCAGGGAGACCCAGGTCACGAGTACAGCCACGTGCACGCATGTGCGGGGATGGATGGAGGTCTGTGCACATGTGCGGGGATGGATGGAGGTCTGTGCACGTGTGTGCGGGGATGGGTGGAGGTCTGTGCACGTGTGTGCAGGGATGGATGGAGGTCTGTGCACGTGTGTGCGGGGATGGGTGGAGGTCTGTGCACGTGTGTGCGGGGATGGATGGAGGTCTGTGCACGTGTGTGCGAGGATGGATGGAGGTCTGTGCGTGTGTGTGTGGGGATGGATGGAGGTCTGTGCACGTGTGTCCATGTGTGTGTGGGGACGTGTGTGTGTGGGGATGGATGGAGGTCTGTGTGTGTGTGTGTGGGGATGGATGGAGGTCTGTGCGTGTGTGGGGATGGATGGAGGTCTGTGCGTGTGTGTGTGGGGATGGATGGAGGTCTGTGTGGGGGGGGATGGATGGCGGTCTGTGCGTGCATGTTCGGGTATGGATGGAGGTCTGTGCATGCGTGTGCGGGTATGGATGGAGGTCTGTGCACGCGTGTGCGGGGATGGATGGAGGTCTGTGCGTGTAGTGGGGTGCAAGTGTGTGGTGACGCAGGTGTGTGTAGTGTGACGCACACGTGTGTGCTGTGTTGTGTGACATGGTGTGGGCGTGTGGAAATGACACGGAGGTGGGTAGATGCTCCCTGACCCTTCTCTGCTGAGGAGGCCCAGGACAGGGAGAGTCTGTCCAGTCAGCCTGGAGGTCAGCAAGGAGAGCAAGGCACTGGAGGTCGGCACGGGCGGTGGTGAACAGGGGTCTCACTGAAGGGCAGTGGGTGGCCAGCGGGGTGGTCAGTCCCCCCGAGGGGCGGCGGGTGGCCAGCGGGGTGGACAGTCCCCCCGAGGGGCAGCAGGTGGCCTGCGGGGTGGACAGTCCCCCTGAGGGGCGGCGGGTGGCCTGCGGGGTGGACAGTCCC